GAAACCAACTGTGGCTGTGATGTTTATGTACCGCCTCCACCCCCTCAGGCACATGAAGGCCTAAAGGTGGGCTGTGGGATTTTGTGAAAAATAGTGTAAGAATACTCATTGGCCACCTCATGAGAAAAAAGTATTTGAACTCTCAAAGAACCAGAGACAGGAGATATATCTGTGGGCTCATGTTTAAGCTCATGTGTAAGCTCGTGTGTAAACTCAAAACATGTTGGAGCCAAGTTTTATCATAAGGGAGTGGCAGAAAAAACCTGTGGGACGGGTGTTTGTTTGACAGTGTATGCTTTCACCAGCTTCCACAGCTTTCATTTTCCAGGTAGCATCATGACCTTCAGAGGACAAAGTAGTTGAAGTACTAAGTCAATTTTTTACTCTTTAAGTGAAAAAATACAGTAGTAATAGATACTAGTAGCAGTAGAAGATTAGAGTGTTTTCTACCAGCTATTATATATATTAAAAAAAATCATGAGTGCATTAGATTAATGCACTCAGCTTTAACATCTGTTATGCTGAGCACAAGCAGAGACAATCAAAAAGAATAACAGAGATCTAGTTGTGGCTGCATTATACCGATATCTGCCTCCCACTGCTAAGAATGAGTTTGTTCTGTTTTTGCATATTTACATTTTTCAGATCATCAAATTTGAATATTGGACAAAGATAGTGATGAAAGTTATGTAAACCTACCTGCCCTGTGTGCAAAAGTAACGGCCCCTAAACCTGATAACTGGCTGTTCCACCACCAAGTATTTGTGATGCCTTCAGTGAGTCTTTCATGTCACTGTGGAGGAACTTTAGCCCACTCTTCTTTGCAGAAATGCTTTAATTCAGACACATTAGAGAATTTGCCAGCATGAACGCCTGTTTAAGGTCACAATGAAGCAGCTCAGTCTGATTTAAGTCCAGACTTTGACTCCAAAACATTCATTTAGTCTTTCAGAGTCTTTCAGCGAATCAGAGATGGACTTGTTGATGTGTTTTTGATTAATTGTCCTGCTGTATAAGCTCTATCAAAAAGAAAAGTTCAGAGTTTTAAAGGTTTTGAAGGTTCCGTCTATCATTGTACTTTTAAAGCCACACGTCCATTCACAAGCTGATTACAATGACAGCTGTCACTTGTGTCATTCCTTCTATGTCGTGCGTCTGTAACTCAGTTTGCATTAGCTCTGTTTTTCAGCCTTTAGGATGATGATGAACTTCAGTCACAGGAAACCTGAATAAAGGAGATCTGGAGGAGATGGACGGGATCAGCAGGGGGAAGAAAAAATGAATGATGTAACAAACATATCAGATTTTCTGAGCTCCGTGCTCCTTTCCTTCACCTCATGACACAGAAAGTGGTCAGGAAAAGACAGAGCAGTCACACTGCGCCCTGCTGGCGAAACCCTGCAGAGGGCAGATCACTCCGGCTGAGTTCAGCCGGAATGGGAAAAACCTCTCACACTGCGCTGATGAGTCAGGGAACAAAAAGAGGATTTTCTTACAAATGCTTGTGTTTATTGGAAAAGCTCATGTCCACAGGCACAGCGGCACAGCATCATTGGGAGGAAAGCCTCAATCTACTGGCTAAATCAGGCTTTAGTAGAACAGTCGGGGCTGTGTTCATGCAAATATGTTTTCCATGCAGTTTGCATAAGTTTCAAATCTCTTCTACATTCTCTGTGGTTAAATACGAAATAATATTGCACACACAATATTATAAAAGAGTACAGTCACGTGTGCTCGCTGAATTCGTTGTGCTTATTTGTGGGTCATTTCAAAATAAAATCAAGCAGCAGCTCCCATCTGACCCCTCACAATAAGCTGATTCTTTCAAATTATTTACTGATGCCACACATATCTTTACCTTCATACCGGGAATATTTTACACTCATGATTACTTTCATAAGTGCACATGAACCCGTCAGGGCTGAAAACACATTTAAGCTGCATCTCTGAACTCTGTTCCTCATCTCTGAGCAGCTGTGAGCAACAGTGTGACGATCTGTCACAGTTTAGGTGCATCCTGGGTAAATTTCAGGCTCATATCAGCAGGTGGGACAGGGGAGAGCAGGTGAAGGCTCGCTTGTACGGTAGGGTCATGTTGCAGCTGACTGTGAGGGGTTCGGATCGATCTCACGCAGCACGATCCCGCTCTAAAAAGCCTACGCACTGGATTATTTGTAGAATTATTGCTCCGGTCAGCGTAACGTGAGTCCGGCCACGGCGCTGCCTCCAACATTGCATAAATAATGAGGTGAGTGTAAACAAACAGTGCAGGTCCAAATACCAGAACGTCTGTTTTCAAGCAGCTTAAAGGCTGAAACGTCCATGTCTGAACAAATATTCAAGTATTATTGTGTCACCGCTAACAAAAAGGCCTGTGTGCTTCTCATGCTGTGGTTCACGTTCTCCTCAGGCCACGCTTGTTACAGTCACGAGGACCGCTTCAGAAGCTTCTGGTTCAGCGCCACGACGGTGGGCACGAAGCGGCTCTCCGAGACGAAGTCGCCGGCGATGATGTTCAGCGAGCCGTCCTCCTCGCCGGGCGTCTGCTCTTTGACCCAGCCGAGCAGCGTCGGGTACGTGGACATCACCAGGTCCTTCAGGGACTCAGTTGGGTGGGTGCAGATGTACTTCAGGTCCTCCGTCAGATTAATCCCCGTCACAAAGAAACCTCCTGAAACACACACACACACACGGTGAGATCCAGATGGTGAATGTGTTTAATCCTCACCTGTCTGACATCATGACTTGTCAGCAGGTCACCTGGTCTCCTGTTTTGTTGCTTCATGCGTTCAAACTCATCAATCAGAGCCTCGGCTTTGCATTTGTTGGCCCACCAGTACGGGATGTCCGGCCACAGCTCAGTGTGCCGGCGCTCCGTGCTGTGCTCGTAGGACGCGATCACCTGGTAGCCCGAAGCCCAGAGCTTACGAAGAGTGACCTCAGCCTGAAAGCAACACATCAGAGCCGTGAACACCTTAATAATCCAGGTAATGCAATCACCACGGCTCCCATAATCCTCCCTAAAAGTTTAAATAAACCCCACCAGGCTCTTTAATATGAGTTAAAGGTCAAAGAAGTACACTTAATGGAAGTCCACTTTTTTGATATATGAAGTTTGTGTACGGTCGGTTTTAATGTTTGCACATTTTGTGGGCGGAGCTAAACTGGAGGAGGCATAAGTGGATGGATGCATCCTCTCTGTGGTCACGTCCAGGTGTTTGATACTGACACTGGCTGACTGATGCGTGTGCGACTGCCGTGAAATGGGTTCATCCAGTGTGAGCTATTTAACAGGAGCGCCCTGTCAGCATGGAGGGCAGCACCTCTGCTGTAAATCTGTAAAACAGGATACTTTGGGATTCTGTGCCGACTTCACCCTTACAGTTAGAAACCTATGAGATGTTTCAGGAAACAGGAAGTGCATCCGTACCTTTTTGGGACAGAGTTTGGAGGCAAACACGGTACGTATGGTGGTGAGCAGCACCGCGTGGAGCTCCTGGCTCAGGCCGAGGAAGTGGCTGAAGGAGAGGACGACCACCTCTTTGGGATGGGCGTCCAGCCACTCTCGGATCTCCGTCAGCACTGTCTGTCAGAGACACAGGCGAGCTCAACCCTCACACACCAAAATGAACTTCATCCCGCCCACGTGCACAGCTGATTTGACGTGTTATTGCTGCCATTTTTTCCTAATGATGTAGTCCTGCTGTTTTCTGTTCCTGCTTTAAAACACACGTGTGGGATTGCTCATGTCAAATATAGTCAAAGTTTCTAAAAATGAGCTCAGTGTGTGTGCAGTAATCCCTGAATACTCAGATTAACATAGGGATACTCTTACTCTGTGTGTGTGTGTGTGCTCACTTCCAAAGACGGTCTGTCTCTTATGGAAGTTATCACAGAATATCACAGAATATCAACCAAAGACGCAGAACAAACCTGAAAGGAATGAACGCGTATTAAAGGAAAACGCGACTCAGCACTTTCTGCCAAGCTTGTGATTCACATGTTCACTGCAAACTTCATGCTACTTGCGGTGTCATCTGTGACTGTCGTTAACAAGCTCCTCCCACCACCTTTCTCAGGATCATCCTCACTTTAGATTTCTGAATAATCGCACTGACAGCTTCACCTTCTCTCCTGTCGCTCCGTCACCCTGGTGCAGGTCTGCAGTCCTGCCCCTGACATCCGGTGACAGCTCTTTGGTCTTGCAGTCTGTGGACAGCGGTGCTTTATTCGCACACCGAGCTGAGATCAGGAGTATCTGACTGGGTGATTGTGCTACTTGGGCCACACAGCCATTCTGTGGGCGTCTGTAGGGGATCAAATACTTATTTCAAACTGAGTTTCTGGATTTTTGGTTGATATTCTGTTGCTCTCTATTGAAACATAACTTTCTCTGTAAGCCGTGAAGAAGAAAGCAAAAAGCCAGACTGGATAACCATGAAGCCCACAGAATTCCAAATCTAAACCTGTCATGGATTTAGCATCTGTTTGCATATGTGTGACCGGGCTGTGAGTCACCTCCACAGTGAGCGTGGTGTAGACGCCATGGTAGAAGTACAGGTGTGTGGAGCTGTCGTTGGGCCTGTGTGCAATCCTCAGGTCGCAGTACCTCACCCCACAGTCCAGCTGATGCTTTATACAACACTCCTGAAACATGGAGGACACACAACTCATCACAGCAGGTCCGGCTTTATACACAAGAAGGACTAACACAGGTACAGTTACAGCCTGTTATCACATTGTGCTCCTCCTCCCCACTGTCACCGTGAGCTGCTGGTAGAGGATCGTGGGATGGCTGGGTTTCTCTCTGATACTGTACAGTGTAATCCGCCCGAGGCGACAGCTGTTTCAGAACAGTGCTGTAAAAGTATTACCTGGGTTTTTGCCCACTTGTACACAAATGGACGAATGAGGGGCTTCATGAATTTGTCGAGCTTCTGCAGCATGTCAGGCTGCATGAGGTCGATGGGAGACCTGTCGTCCGTATCCAGGCAGTAGGTTATTGCATTATGGCTGCCTGAAAGGGACAAAGATAATCCTGAATGTTCCACTTGGCCCT